TCCAGTTCATAAAGATTCTTAACGGTATTTTTTTTTTTCTGCTTTTTTTATGAGCTGAATACTCTGACAAGTAAAATGAAAGCCAAGTTGTCTATTTTTCTCTGTGTTTTTGCTTTTACATTGTATGTGTGATTGTTATCAGAATCTTTCACAAGAGAATCCCACACAGCTAAAATTTCCTTTCACAACTGGTAGAAAAGAAAAAAGGACCTTTTATCATCTTTATCATCATTGCCTTTCTAATGAAAATGGCAAAAGATTTCAACAGGGTCTGCCTAAACCACAGAAATGGGGATCATTCCAAAAATCTAATACCACATTACAGTCTGTCTTCTTGGGGGGAGTTTATTCTATTCTAGGATATATTTAGATTTCTGATTGACATAATGGAATAAAAGTGCAGCTGTAACAATCATTATGCTAAGCAGTTCAATTCTGGAATATGCTAAATTCAATGTATTATGTGAGTCAGAAAGTGACAGTGGAAGCATTTTTTTTCTTTCCGAACTGAACATGATTAATTAAAAAATTTTAAAATACCATGTATTGACTTGGTATAGTCTTGTATATTTACCTTTTGTGTATGTGTGTGTGTGTGTTTTCCCTTGGAGCATTATTGTTGTTCAGTGGATAAGGACCCACATTTTTGTTCAAGAATTATCCTAGTTTGAGAAGTAGATTTTATACATTTGTAATTTAATATTAACCTCATGTTGCCTAATTATTTTAAAGAATTTTTGTTTTGAGTGGTTAAAATTTTTTTAAGGAAATGCTTACGGTATGTATATTTTAGGTGGTTAGGCTATATTTCAGCAGACTAACTTTGGAAAAGTGGGCTGGGAAATCATGTAGATATGACATTTCTTATACCTTTCGGTCAGCATTGATTATTTAGAAATGTAGAATATATTCAAGTAAAATAATGATGTACTTTTTAAAGTGGTATGATCCCTACATGTTAAAGTTTGTATTTTTAGTAATAAGTTTAATGAACTAGACTTTACTACAGGATATTTCACTTGTTCACTTGTCACCTTGTTTTACCTTGTTAAAGCAACAACAATCAGAGGTACTTTGGAAAATGAATATTAAAGTTGAAGTCATGTTATTGCTTGTTAATCTGTGAAATCCTATAATTTAGTTACTTTTTTTTTTCTTAAATGGTTTACTTTTTGAGCTTGAGAAAGTAGATTTCAGATACATAAATAGAGGGACTGCTGAGCTTTAAAAGATGTTCCTTTCATCTCTTTGCTGTTTTCTGTGAACACATATTCCTGAATGAGTTCTAACATGTCTCTTGCGTTATAGGTTGAATTGACATTGAGAATCAAGAGCTGCAAGTTGTACACTGCAAATTCTTTGGCCTTAGGCAAATCTGTTAGCTAAGGCGTCTCCATTTTTATATAAATAATACTTAGTAGTTTCAGGTGCAACTTGAAATTACTGAGAATCAGTTGGGGTTAGAACCTTACATGAAATATACCACAAAAAATAATATAAAAAAATAAGTAGTGGTATTAAAAGGATATAAAGCTGAAGATCTGTTACATTTAATCTTTATATTGTAAAGCTGTTTGCAAAGACAAAGTGAAAATGAGAATATTTTAAATTATATTATTCCTCATTATTAATCTTTTTTTGCATTTTTTCCCCCACATTTATGAGAATGGTAACTGAAAGTAGTGAAAGTTTGAAAAGGTCTCAGTGAGAATTGGCTTCTTTAGCAGTTGAGTTGCTCCAAGCTATCTATGATAAAAGGCATATGTATTTTTTTTTTTTTTTTTTACCACTAGTCCTTTTGTAAAATGTAAGAAAAATGCTTCACTAGAAAAATGGAATTTAAAAAGACACAAAGTAAATTAAATGTTTTATCATTAGATTCAGCAGGCATAAATTACTCAGTATGAAATTCTTAAATGAAAATTCTTAAATATGTGCTTTGAATTTTCCTACTTAACTCATACCTGACCATTAAAGGCAATTTCTGGCATAACTGCATGGATCACACTTTCAGTAGCTTTGCTCTAAAGTTTAAACCAGTCTATTTTGTAAAGTGGATATGAGGTAGTTTTGGAATCATGGCATCTGACTTAATGCAGAAAAGTTGCAGCAATAATGAGAATGATATTGCCTAAATCATACACAGACCCCCCCTTCCCCCCCCACGTGCATGCATGCACACATGCACACACACATAATTTATAATTTATCATAATCAGGTAGGATTTTATTATTCTTCTTAAAAGTGATTTATCTTTTGTTTTTGTTTTCCTTCTACCATCCAACAATTACTTACTGAATATTACTAGGACTTAGCACTTGTATTAGATACAAAGGATATAAAGATGAATGGTATCTGATTCTTGCTCTGCCATCAGTCTCTCATTGTCCCAGGTTCCCATGAGTAGTGATACTAAGAAAGATATGGGTCTTTAGGGTCTTCAGAAACCTTTGCCAGCCTAATGACTCAAAAAGCCATTAGTGTATTTTGGCTCTTAATGTATTTTAAGTGAACTACATCACTCCCCTTCCCTCTAGCAAACAAAAAGAAAATGGAAAATGTTGCTTATGTTTTTTAAAGGTACATCATACACTTTTTAAAAAAATGGAAAGCTTGCTTTATGCATTTGAAGTATAATATGATTCACAGAAATTCATGTTATAACAAAACTTTTTAGGAATACATCACTTTTGTAAAATACGGTAAACCCATATTAAGAATATTACTGTGGGGAAGATGCTTGTACTTTCTTTTTCAGTCTTGTTAAAGTTTGTCACTCAAATTGAAAGAATGTCTGCTTTTTTCCCCTAATATACTATGCCCTTTTCTTGATTTAGTTTTAAGGTAGAAGGCAGAGAGTGGCAGACAGATCTCTGGAGAACAAAAGATGTGAGTTTGTTCTACCCGTAAATTGAATTTGTTTTTTTTTTTTTTTACTTTGTGATCCATAGAGCCAAAGCCATCAACAATCCATAAGGCCTCCATGTACACCTTAGAAAAAAGCACCACAATTTATTTCCATCTGCCAGGAAAAAAGTCATAATAAACATTCAAATCTGTGATGTTTGCTGTGTGAATGCCCCCCCCCCTTAGATATGGTGGTATTATGCACCAAACAAACTACAAACCCTTAAATGGTGTACCCCACTTAGAGCCATTTCCCTTATCCTCTAAGATTCTCCTTTGTGTAAAGTGGAAATGACTAGTACTACTTGGTAACAAATTATATAAAATATTTCCTTATTTAGATATTTTATAGTCTAATTGTTAATGTTTATTAGCCAAAATATCTTTAAAATTTAGATTAAACTCAGTGCACTTTTTAAAATTAAATTTATGGCTGTTCCCGTTGAACTGTTTTGTTGAGTACAGTATTTATTATACATAGCAGTTCTTTGAATAATATTAAATATTATCCTTGGACTGACTTGCGGGTTTTTTTAAAGCACTTTTCTCAGCTGTAAATGTTTTATTTATTTTTATTTTTAACCCAAGCCATCCATAGTTTATAGGTGGTTTGGAGTGGGTTTTCTTAAGGCCTAGTCTATTCATTCATGACATTCTGAAAGGTTATCTCTTTTTTGTGTTTATCTGTACATTTTGTTATTTTAACATGTCATATTGTGAATAATCTTCACTTATTTTTCCACTGTATATATCCCAAGCTCCTTGACGCTAAGGTCAATGTAATAAACAAGAAGCTCTGTGGCACAGTGGTTACTGCATTCAACTTCTAACCAAAAGGTTTGGCAGTTCAAATCCATCAGCTGCAAGGGAGAAAGATGAGGCAGTCTGCTTCCATAAATATTTATGGCCTTTGAACTATAAAGGGCAGTTCTACTCTGTTAGGGTTGCTGTGAGTCAGAATCAACTCGATG